GAAGTCGTAGACGGCGTAGCGGGGCCTTGCCGACGGCACCTGAAATTCGTTAGCGCCGTCTTCTCTCTGAGCTGGGCTGTAAAGCGGCTGCGACGTACAGTCTTGGTCTTGCTGGTGGCGTTGATGAGCCTCTCGCGGAAGGTCTCCCAGTCCTGGCTCTCAGAGGCCTCCTCGATGACAATCTGCTTGTTGTCGTCGGACAGCTTGAAGACAATGTACTTGTACTTCTTGTTGAGCTTCAGGTCGTTGTACGCCTCGATGCACTCCTGGGAAACGGACGCTCTGTGTTGATTTGCCAAGTCAGCGTCTTGTTGCGGTGTTGCACCACTCCAGGAAACACCTCGTTCGGTCCATGTTGCGGGGGTCGCCCGACCGGGGTGGCCGGGCGGCCGTAGGCGCCGAGGTTCGACAGAGCTGGTTGGGGTGAAGGAGGATGAACAAACCCGGATTGAGACTGTGATAGAGGTTAGAGCCCGTTGCAAACGAGATGTTGTCGGCCGGAAGCGTAAGTCACTCACCATTGTGTATGGGTGGGATGGCGGGGGGGGCGCAAGTGGGTTGGGGAGACGGGCTGAGCTACAATTAGCACACGGCTGGGATGGCTTCGAAATGAACGATTTGTGAGGATGAAGCGACAGGGATCCGAGGTTGCAGGAGCTTTTTAAAACTGGCAATGCCTAGTGGGAAAGGTGGGTTGGAAGATGCAGGCAACAGCTTACAGTAAAGTCAGGAAACGTAGGCAGAGAGAAGTAGTTGGAGTTGGGTCGTCGATGTCCTGGTCTGACGAGCTGGCGGCTAGGGGGCCATGGAGGGGGGGAATGGGAGAAAAACAGCCCCAGCATGGTGGGGTTGGCACGGTGAGACATGCCACGTGACCCGCGTCGTCAGCCACAGAACACCAGTGCACCACCCAAACAACAGCATCCCCCATGCAGTTCTTGGCCTGATGGTGCGCGTCCTGCCTGCATTGCATCCTCTTGAGACTGGTCCCTGACCCCTCCATTCCATCAGTGTGCCCTGAGCCATCACCAGGGATTTGGACAAAGTCCGGACGCACTGGTCGATGGAACTTACGCAAACCCAGGCAGCAAGATCACGAGTGGCGCACATGATGTTTAACTTGTTTTGTTCATCCTAATTTACACGGCTGATCGGCGCTATAGTACAGAGATGAGCTCAAACTGTGCAGCTGCCTCGCCAGCATCTGCTCTGCTCGTCCTAATGGAACATGGTCTAGAAGACGAGAGGTAGAGAGGAGTTGTAGTACAAGGCCGCGATCCCATCCGTTACAGAACACCAAAGCCATGCTCCTTCCCCCGTCCCGAATCACTTTTGATACAGAAAATTTTGGTCAACCACTTCTTACATCATGCCACCCATGCCACCCATGCCGCCCATACCGCCCATGCCGCCAGGAGGACCGCCGGGGCCCTTCTCCTCAGGGGCCTCGACAATGGCGACCTCGGTAGTGCCCAGCAGAGAGGCAACACCACTGGCGTCACGAAGACCGGTGCGGACAACCTTGAGGGGGTCGAGGATACCGGCAGCGATCATGTCAACGTACTCGCCCTTGGCCGAGTCGAAGCCCTTGTTGAAGTCACCAGCGAACTCGTCAGTGAGCTTGCCGACAACGACAGAGCCCTCAAGGCCGGCGTTCTCGACAATGTTGCGAGCGGGGCGGGTGATGGCGTTCTTGATGATGCTCACACCAAGCTGCTGGTCAAAGTTGCCGGGCTTCAGGTCCTTAAGGGCGTTGGTGGAAGCCTTGATCAGAGCGGTGCCACCGCCGGGCAGGATACCCTCCTCAACAGCAGCGCGGGTGGCGTTCAGGGCGTCAACGAAGCGGTCCTTCTTCTCGCCGACCTCAACCTCGGAGGAGCCGCCGACCTTGATGACGGCAACACCACCGGAAAGCTTGGCGAGACGCTCCTGGAGCTTCTCCTTCTCGTACTCGGAGGTGGTGGGGTCGTTGATGACACCACGGATCTGCTCGCAGCGCTGAGCGAGAGCATCCTTGTTGCCCTCGCCGTTCAGGAAGATGGTGTCCTCCTTGGTGATGGTGATGGAGCCGGTGGAGCCGAACATGTCGGGGGTGGCCTTCTCGAGCTTGACATCGAGCTCCTCAGAGAAGACGGTACCGTTCGTGAGGACAGCAAGATCGCCGAGGATGGACTTGCGGTTGTCACCGAATCCGGGGGCCTTGACGGCGGCGACCTGGAGCTGGCCACGGAGCTTGTTGAGGATGCAGACGGCGAGAGCCTCGCCCTCAATGTCCTCGGCGATGATGACCAGGGGACGGCGGGCCTGGGTGGAGGCCTCGAGGGCGGGGATGATGTCCTGGACGGCGGAGATCTTCTTCTCGGACAGCAGGATCAGGGGCTTCTCGAACTCGACCTTCTGGGCCTTGGTGTCGGTGATGAAGTAGGGGGAGACGAAGCCGCGGTCGAAACGCATACCCTCGGTGACCTCGAGCTCATCGGCCATGGTCTTGCCCTCCTTGACGGTGATGACACCCTCCTTGCCGACCTTCTCCATGGCGTTGGCGATGAGCTTTCCGATGTGGTGGTCGCCGTTGGCACTGATGGTGGCGACCTGAGCAATTTCCTCGCTGGTGGTGATGTCACGAGTGTTCTTCTGGAGGTAGTCGACGACGGCATCGACGGCGGCCTGAATACCACGGCGGAGATCCATGGGGTTGCAGCCAGCGGCGACGTTCTTGACCGTCTCGGAGAAGATGGCACGGGCAAGAACGGTGGCCGAGGTAGTACCGTCACCAGCAACCTCGTTGGTCTTGGAGGCGACGTCCTGGACCAGACGAGCACCAAGGTTCTCAAACTTGTCCTTCAGGGTAATGGCCCTCGCGACGGTGACACCATCTGTTTTCTATCAGCACTGAGGTTGCAAAGAGACGAACGAATAGACTAGGGATGCTGACCCTTCGTGATCTTGGGGGCGCCGAAGCTAGACTCGATAAGAACGTTGCGGCCCTTAGGGCCAAGTGTTGTCGAAACGGCCTTCGCGAGGGTCTCGACACCGGTGAGCAGGGCAGCGCGAGCCTCAACACCGAACTTGAGTTCCTGTTCACGGAGCGATGAGCGATGATTCCAGTATTTCAAGATGTCGTCCCTAGCATTGAGCATACCTTGTGAGCGTAGCGGACCTGGCCGAGAGCAGCGCCCTGGCGGAACTGGCTCGTTGCCGAGTTCAGGACCGAAGTCCTCGTGCGGGAGGTCAGCGCGCGCTGCATTGTGATGAATTAGGAAAGGGGTATATGTGGTATCACAACAAAGAAACGACCGTAAAGTACACAGTCGCAGAGGAGAGAGAAATGACGACGGTTGCTTGGGAGGAATATGGGGGGGGATGCAGTAGAAGGAGGAGGTTTGCTGATGGAAGCTCTGCAGAAGCTCCCCCTTCGCGTCCCGATGTCCCATCCCCAAAAATTTATCTCGGAGCTCGGCTAAACGAGGCCCCTTGTGCTCCCTATCCCCGATTCATCCACGCTAACCATCTTTGGTTAAAGCAAGACCCATACACAATTCCACCTCCTTCCAATGCCGTCTGTCCGATTTGAAGCCATCGTGAGTCGAGCAATGTCTACACACTAGCCGAGGCCGGCCTCTTGCCGTAAGGTTTACTTTAATGGCATTTTTATGGAGTACACGGCAGGCTTGTCATCGGCGGCTTTGTGTTGTTGAACGAAGACCACATGCTGTTGTCGCAAACTGGTGGACAAATCAAAACAGTAGTATTGGGAAGCAAACAGAGCCATTACGACGAGTGAATGAATGAAATGGTTTCTGGAGCATCCCCAGTGTACCCTAGCGACCATCACCAACGCAGCGCGCGGTTCAGCTCTCCTCGGTGCTGTGATGACAACGGTCTCCCTGGCCGAATACCTGTGGGGCGGCTGATTCAGGGGCAGATACAGGGGGGTTTCAGTGCCCGAGAGAATGAGTGACAGGGTCACAGATCGACCGGTGACTTGGAGGCAACAGCTGCACAACACGGGGCGCTCTTCATCATGGTTGACAGGCTATTTCAGAGTCTATAACTCTGCTCTCTTTCCCTTTTACCTCCTGGATGTCCTCAGCCTAATGACGTGCAATCATCGATCCCCTTGTATGAGCAAATGCCAGCAGCTGATTCCCATGCCTAGGTTTTTCTTTGTCGGTCGCTCACAACGTCGTATGCCCTATTTGTGACCTCTGTAGAATAAGCTCACTCCTCGGTTTCCTCTTCAGGCTCATCCTTTCCTGCATGAGGTATGATGGTCAGAAAATTGAAGTTGCAGCTGCAGATACTGTCTTGAAATCAGGGCGACATACCAGCATTTTGCTGGACAAACGGGTCCTCGTCGTTCTCCTTCACCGGGACGGCGATGGACTTGGAGCGCTTGGTCTTGCCCTCCGTGGCACTACCAGCAGCCTTGGTGGCCGCGCTTGCGCTTGGCGGGGTAGGAGCAGCAGCAGCAGTGCTCAGATCCTGCGAGGCAGCGGGGATGGCCGTGGCGGTGTTGCTGCCTTTGGTGGTGAGGTCCGAGGGCTTCAGGTCGAAAGTCTTCAGAAGCCGCTCGAAGCGCTTGTGACTTGAAGTGGCGATCGATTAGTATAGGGTGTATTTTGGACGATATGAGGGGAGATACATACGCGGCTGCCTTGCTGGTGATCTCAAGCTCATTGGCGACGGCTTGGAAGTTGATCTTGCCAAGTCAGCGGTTTCCTGCGAAGCTTTCCGTCGATGCCAGGAGCACTCACCTTGTTGTCAGCGCCGAAATTCTTCCAGCAGCAGATGACAAGCTTGAGAGCCTCTTGCGAGGTGTCGGTGGCGTTGCCAGCAGGAGCAGTGCTTTCAGACATGATGGTGGTTTGTCGAGTTGGTAGTGATATGATATCTGGTTGTTTGGGTTTATTAAGCTGACGATGAGTGCTTCCTCCTGCAAGATAAGTTTGTCAGGGTGGATCAAGTTGAGGCGTAGGAGAAAGAGAATATGTTGGACTAAAGGTTGCGCACGACTTGAGAACCCAAAGGAGCTGCTGGGAATATATGGTCGACCAATGGAAGGAAGGACCAGGACTTGCGGTCCATACGAACTATGTGCGTGCATGTGATGTCTTGCTTTTCTCGACGCCTTGTAGTTTCTACAAGCGCTTCAAGTTGGCAGGATGGAAGTCAGTCTCACCACTCAGAGCTTGAGAAAGTGAATGAGTGCCCTGGAATTCGAAGCAGGTGCGCTTGCGAGACGATGGGACAAAAGCTGAACGCACAGAAGACACTTCTATCACCAAACTGAGACCAAACTCACAAATGTGTGAACAGTCTGTAACCCATCTTCGCCTGTCAACACAAGGACCTCCAAGTCACATCTATCGTTCACCTTTGTACACCGAGCACTCTCGCGATCCCCAGAATTTCCGGACGGAGCCTGGCTCTCCTGATCCTCCGAGAGAGAGCCCCGAATAGTGCTTCGCGTGGGGGAACTTATCTGCATCGTCCAGAGGGAGCTGCATGTAGGAATTGCTCCAAGGCCTCCCGCCGTCTTTTGGCTTGAGCTCTGATGGGAGGTACAGACCCGTTCAAGCATATCGATGCGTCTGTAGCTGCAACGAATTTCATTCCAAAAATAATTACTAATTATGACTATAACTATATGAGGGTTATCATATACGAATATGAGAAAATAAGAGAGAGAAGGGGTAGACCCCTGATCCATATGTGTTAGGATGCCCAAACATGGTTCTTGGCCGAAGAAGTCTCCTGCAAGAAAGACGCAGCAGCAGGCCACTGTGCTAACAAAACCAGCTGTTTACCAGTGGCTGTATCCGCCCTTGACAGCACCGAAAAGCTTGCCAAGGAAACCAAAGGCGCCGCCGACAATGGCGCTTAGGGTGCTCGCAACGAAGCCAGTGACGAGCGAGACGATACCGGCACCACCGAGAATGGCACACAGGCCTGCAGAGAGCGCGGCCTTGATGCCAAAGAGGCCGAGGGCGGCGACGCAGAAGACCTTGTCGGCGAAGATCTGGCCGATCAGAGTGACGAAGCCAATCTTGGCGGAGAGGAAGGCGCCGAGGAAACCGCAGAACTTGGTGGCAAAGTCGGCCTCGAGGAAGAGCTTAGCCCAAGCCTTGAAGAAGGCGCCGCCCTTGAAGCCACCGCCGCAGATCTCGTTGAAGCTCAGCTTGCCGAAGAAGCCGGCCAGGAGGTCGGTGCAGCTGCCAGCGCCGAGAAGGGCGCCGAACTTGCCCTTGAAGCTGGCGCCGAGAAGCAGCTCGAGCTGAGCGGCAAAGTTCACCTTGGCGCCGAAGAGGGCAATGAATTTGGCAGTCAGGTCAGCGCCGAAGCCGAGCTTTGCCGCAAATGTGGCCCATGAAGTTGGCATCAGCGAGAAGACCGCCGAGCGCGGCGCCAAATCCGGCCTTGACACTGAGAAGAGCCTGTAGCTTGGAAATAAACAGGCTGTCGCCGAAGAGAATGCCGAATTTGCCGCCGACAACGCCCTTGCCGCAGAGGCTGACGAAGAAGTTGACGAAGCTGCTGCTCTTGAGAAGCCCCCGATCTTGGCGCCAAAGTCGAAGTTGGCGCCAAGTGAGCACCAAAGAGAGAGATGAAGGCATCAGCACTGATGCCAGCCGAGAAGCGCTTCATAAACTCCACATTGGAGAGGAGAACACCAAGCTGGGCGCCAAAATTGCCACCAGCAACAATGCCGGTGCACTTGTCGAGGAAGACATCATTGTGGAACAGAAGATCGATCTGGCTGATGAAATCGGCGCTGCCACAGAGCTTCTGAAACTTGACGAGGAACTCGGCATTGGCACTCAATTCAATGACATGGGCAGCAAAGTTGGCGTCACCGAGAATTGTGTGCAGGCCAGCGCTGATATCACCTCCAGCGAGGCAGTCGTCGACGAAATCGGGAATGGGGCTGCAGTCGGAGTCAATTAGAGTCACATCAAGTGAGACAAAAGGCACTTACTTCTCCTCGTCACCGTCACAGTCACAATCTTCGTCATCGGGCGTGTCCTCGTAGGTGCGTCGGGAGTCTAGAAAAATCAGCTGACTGCATCCTCGGCACCTCAAGCCTGTTAACTTACTCTCAACATTGGGAGACACGACAGAGGACCGGACTTGGACATCTAAGTGGATTATTAGTTTCTTTGAAGTTCTTGTTTGGAGAATCATCTGATACTTACGGTTCAGAGTAGGACCAAGCGGCGCAGCAGTGACAGTGGCAGCGCAGAAAAGCGCTGTGAGGGGGACGAAGAACTTCATCGTGTCGGTGTAGTTTGTATTGGAGCAAATGTGAAATCAAGGTAATGATAAAGTCCCGAGCACGGCTCAGTGGAAGAAGAACGAAAGACTTGGTGAGAAGGAAAGAGTCGAACGAGAGACAAGTTGTGAGAGAAGGTGATGCTGAGGAAAGGCTTTCTCTCCTGACTTTCGTCGTGCAGGCACAGCAATTTATATCCCTAGTCTGCCTTCAACTCACGTCACGTCTATGAGGCAGCTTCCCGGCCGCCATAATCATGATGTCTGTGACAGTTGAGCCCGTGAGAATGCGACTGACTGAGCTCGACCTCCTCACCTGGAACCTGGAACACCGACGCCATTCAGGTGGCCGGTAGCCGACCTGAGGATCCTGCGATCTTCTGAATGCCATGGACCAGAAGAATACCGTGTATGCTCTAGTTCCCCAGACTAAGATAGGAACCGAAATTAAACCAGGCTCAAAACATCGTGACCAACCGGTGCCTCCCGTCAGCCTTAGCTGATAGCGGCATAGCCAGGTCATGATGCGACGAGCTAGCGCATGCTCTGCACAGACGCCCAGCACGGCGATCTACAGCCACCGAACGGTGGGTGCCTTGTGCTCCTCGTATGCCATCTGGAGAGTCAGGCGAGATCAGACTGCAAGTAAACAGACGAAGCTGTTTTGGTCCTTAGCTGTTTCATCATTGATCTGGTTGGGGCAACATGGCTAGTGACGTTCCAATCCGGCATGTGATGCCCAAAATAGGCAATGCTGGTTGGAATCACAAGCCGATTCGGCCCCAAGGATCGCGTCGCTGGGAATGACCTCTCTTCAAATCCGAATACATGAAGTTGATTCTTGCTGTTTGTTCGCGGTCTTGGTGGAAACGGGACGCCCTGGTCGGTGCCTCCTGGCGACCGCTTCGGAGGCACAGCGGCACGGTGTGTGGAATGCGATATACGTTCCATCTGAACAACGACTGTCCTATTCAACTTTCATGTCATCTGACAGCAAGACAAAAGAACGAGCGCGCGAGCCCGGGAGCTTGTACGTTCACCTTCACATGTGGCTCAGGACCCTTGCGACCGCCCATAGCGTGTGGCCTGAGTTCAATGCGTACCTGCAAAGCTAGCGTCGACTGCGCCATGCTCATAGCGGCGGTGACCCTTGAAAGCAACAACACCACCGCAATGCGAAGGCGAGGAGAAAATAAGGAAAAAGACCGCTAGGGCGATATTCTACCGTATTCGGCTTTCATATGCTTGAGTGCAAGCTCACTCTGCTCGCGACCGCGAGAGGTCTGCCCATCCTGATCGCAAACAGTCAAGCCTCCAGGGTTGCCAAGAATCATGAGCGGATGGGTCACTGAGGGCTACCTCGGTACACTGGAATACAAAATAGAATGATGCAGGATTTCAACGTGATGTTGCAACTGCGAACAGAGATGACTTGCTGGGGCTGCCAAGACCCATGATGCCTCACGCGTGGGACAGAGATTGTATTGGCCTGGGTATAGATCTGTGGCTAAGCTGGCTTTTGGTCTCTTGATCCACGCGCCAGGCTCATCTGGATCTAGCCAGCGACGGAAACGCGTGCTGATACCATAATCTGAAACCATTTCTGGAATACCAGTTTCAATAAGAAGAACGGATTGCTCTTCTTCAGAAAGTAGGTCTGTTACGGTAGGAACCTAGATACATGGTAGGCAGGTAAGAAGGAAGAAAGGAATGTGAGCCATCGCGTGTGCTTACTAAGCATGTTGGCCTGTGCTTGGAGCCATCGGGGTTATCAGCCCTGTTTTTGCGTTATTTTCTGCCTTCGGGCATTTGGTCAATTTGAAACGATACAGAGAAGATGTAGGTTTTTCCACACGTCCTGAGTTCGAAACCCGTACTGACCAATTCTACAGTAGCATGGCCCCTGCACTAAGGATGACACGCTCAATCAAAGAGAAGCTACAAATTTTTTTGGCTTCCAATTCTCGTCCATCTGCTGTTATTCCGATGCGAAAAGTACATGGGCTGCTCAAAGCACCTGACGGACTACTTCTGCGAATACGCATGTGGTTCTCGCGAATCTGCACGGAGTCTTCGGAGGCTAACGGGAATTGTCGCCAGCAATGCCTTGAGCAAGTGTCTCAGAATTCCTAGGCGAGTTATCTCTTCATCGTGCAATCCGGTCGCTCCGCCCCTTTTACTCGCTTTTTTCACATTTACACTGCGGCCTCGTTGGGCGCAAGGGAGGTGTATCTCCGAGCTACTCGACCAAAACAGTAAAATAGAATGCAAAATACCACATGGTCAAGATCTTGTGATTCATGAGAACTTGTCGTCGTCTGCAAAACGCCGTCACCTATCCATACCGCCAACGACATTGTCTGCCGTGAATCACCTTCAGCTATTCCGCCCTACTACAACCTCAACCCAGAAGACCTCAGATGCCGGTCGCTGTGATCCACCACCGTTACTCACGTTGCATGCAATCAGACTGGTTCTCCGAGATCCCGTGTAAGACATTGAGTGTGGTGCTGCGCTAGGTTGCCATGGCGGCCTCTTCGCATCCGATATGGCAAGGCACCAAGCAGGTACTTAATTTATTTCTAGGTACCTGCGGAATGGCAACGCACCTTAACCTTATCGGATGTATCTTTAATGTAAGGCACGGTATTTTCAGCGATCGCGAAGATCACCAACGCTCTGGTTCTTCGGCGGTCAGCAGGCATTGCGGACAGCCCCCACAACCGCCCAGGGTGAAAGCGAAAGCGAGGATGCATTGCGCTGTAGCCTCCCCCTTCGACTCTGATGAGCCTTACGAATCGCTACAACCCGGCCTTCCCACCCGAGTTTCCACTTGATTGCGTACCGCATCCACTGGTTCCGTGCAGCCCGCATCGCAATACTGAGACCAGCAGCTGAATGGTGGCCATCTCATGCTGGCTGCGTCATTCGAACCGCGCCATGATGAAAGACGTGGTTGAATGCTGTGCTGGCGAGGCATACATACCCTTGAACAAGGTCTACCGTCTGGTCCATATGATCGACAATGATTCGCAGGGACCTGCTTTTGCTATGTAACACAACACGATAAAATCGGAAATGAAGAGTCAAAGCAAAACCGAGACCGATGGCGATGATCTGGATCGCGACGCAGCATAGCGGCTCGTCAAACGGGAAAACAAGTCAGGCTGAAGCCGTCGTATCTTGCCACTGATGAGCCAGGCCACGTATATATATATATGGTTGTCGTTGTGCGATACAACGATTGACTTGAGACACCGGCTCGCTTTCCTCACGTACTCGACGCATTTTACAGCTTGTCAGGTATTAACATGTTGTCTTCAGGAGTGCTGACAGCGGTATTGGTAGCTTGCGCTGCAGCCACCGGCTCTGGGGTCAGGGCACGGGGGATTGTCGCCAACGATGGTGTCAGATGCGCTTGTAACCAGCTTGAAACCGCTGACCCCGACGCACTTCTTCGCCCCAACTCGACCCAATACAACGCTCAGTGCATCAATGTGTGGGACAAACGCTCCAACCTGGCTCCAGCCTGTGTATATCTTCCCACGACGGCCAAATCCGCTGCCAATGCTATCGGCATCTTCAATACGTGCGGCGCTCAGTTTGCCGTCAGAGGCGGTGGACACATGAATGTATGAGCAAATGTTTGGTGCAGGGTTTGTACACGGCGCTGACGAGAATGTTCCCAGGCCCCAGGCTCTAACTCCATCAATGACGGCGTACTTCTCGCACTCAACAACCTGAAAGACATCAAGGTCAATGACGAAGACCTCACCATCGAAGTGGCCCCTGGCAACAAATGGGTTGACGTATACGAAGCTCTTGCCCCTTTCAAGCGCTATGCCATCGGTGGCCGACTCAAGACCATTGGCGTACCCGGCCTGACTCTGATCGGTGGTGTCAGCTATTTCCTCAACAAATATGGATATACCATGGACAACGTTGTCAGCTATGATGTGATATTGGGGAACGGAACATCAGTACGGGCCAGTCAGGATATCAATTCTGAGCTCTTCTGGTCGTTGAAGGGCGGCGCTGGTAACTTTGGTCTCGTAACCAAGTTCGTCATGAAGACGTACGATGTGCCTCTGGTCACGAGCACAATGCAGATATTCAACGAGTCTGCTGTCCCAGAATTCATCAAGGCCACTTGCGACATGGTGCTCTCTGAAGACGATTTCGTAGGTGCCGGTGCTGTTATCAACCTCAACTACAACGCCACCAGCAAGTCGGTCACGCCTCAGATGTTTGGTCTCCAAGAAACTCCCGAGTTGTCGCCATCCCGCTTTGCCAACTTTACCGCCATTCCGGCCGTGAGACGCATCCATAATGTCACGGAGCCCGTCCACTGGCACTCCAAGTTGGAAAGCCCGAACCAGATGTTCCGGTGAGCAATCACTCCAGTGTGACTTCTTCGATGCCCAGTGCTTTTCTGACATCGTGTAGCATTCAATTCGGTCATCATACGATCAAGCCGGATGCTGATCAGCTGTTCTGGATATACCAACAGTGGCGCAATGCCGTTGAAGACATTGCCGATGTTGAGGGTATTCTTCCGACACTTGTGCTCAACTCTGCTCCCAAGTCTGCCGCCGCCGTTGGAAAGAACAATGGCGTCGGTAATGCCTTTGGCCTGGACACGGAAGAGTCCTACATCTGTAAGAGCTCAAGTCTTCTCCAAACGCCACGAAACGATACTCATAGTGGACAGGGTGGCAAATCGCAACTTCCTGGGATCGCCCTGAGGATGACCTCAGACTTGAGGCCTGGGCAAAGAGCCTTCTCGGACGTCTCCACAAGGCAAACAAGGACAAAGGCCTGGCTACGGAGTTCCTGTATATCGGTGACGCCGCCGAGTGGCAGGACCCTATCCAGACATATGGCGAAGAGAACTTGAAGAGGCTGAGGGCTGCGCGCGACCAGTACGATCCTCAACTAGTTTTCACAAAGCTCGCTTGGGGTGGATTCAAACTTGGCTATTAAGGGGCTCGAAGTCGGTTACGGAGCGTCATCGGGGCAACAGGCAGCGAAATGGTGACTTGGGCGATCTTCTCTCTTAACGCTTTCTCTGGCATGTAAATAGCAGCATATGGCACGTGTATAATTGGCGCCAATTTTTTCCCGATCAAGTCGTTTGAAACAGCCCAAGGTACCTCACTATGGAAATTCAAGAACAGCGTAAACGGCGTTTCTCGTCAGCTTCTCTGGCTGAGGATAGAAGCCCTCGGTGCTCATGACCAAGGTTCCAGAATGAAACAGACTGTCTCTGGGAAAGGTGGTGAAGGGCCGTGCCAGGAGGTGCTGCAATGTTTCTCTCTATTCTTCTACGACACTACCAAGCGCCACGTAACGACTAAGCATCATGACAGATTTCCCAACAGCTCGCTCCCACAGTAACCCCGTTACAAGGCTTGCCTTTTGTGGCACTATCTTGAGGCTTGTGGCGTTGCCTAGATTATTTCTATGATTCACTGGTCAAACGCATCACTCAAAGGGGCCCGCAATTCCATGATCATGTATCTTGTAAGGTAGGTAGGCATGTGCTGACTTGTTGTTTACGACACCTTCGTCATAATCCCTTTCCAGCAGACTTTCCCCTCCGAAAATTACTCTTACCCATTTCCCTTGCAAACCAACTCGAGTCGACAGAGTTGACTTACCATCCAGGGACACTTCCTCTACAGCTGCTGAAAGACCACCTCGGGGGCACAGTCTTCAGCCTTCGACTACCTCCCTGAACTCTACACCACAATTGCCTCGCTTGCACATAGCACCGCCCGGAGTCTCTAAAAGTACGGTTTCGTTTGACTATTAAGCCAGTCAAGATGCCTCCCAAAGCTGCCGCTGCCGCAGGCGACTCCTGTCCCCTCAGCGCCAATGAAGCCAACTTCATCAAAGTCATGTTCGACAACATGAAGACCAGGCCTGACGCCGACTGGGACAAGGTAGCTGAGACGCTCGGTCTTGCCAATAGCAAGGGCGCCAAGGAGCGCTTCCGCCAGATGTCCAAGAAGCACAGCTGGGGTACCCATGAAGCAGGCAGTGCCAGCCCCGCCAGGCCCGCCGGCAAGTCTTCCACTGCTGCCCGTCCACACAAGTCCGCCAAAGTCACCAAAACCCCTAGGAAGACGCCAGCCAAGAAGAAGGTATGCTGCCTTTTGCAGAGTCTTTGGGCGTATCTCATATTAACCTGCAACAGCAAAGCACTCGTGTCGATACTCCAGAGCGCGAAGAACAGTCTTCTGCTACTCTCAACAGTGACGAAGATGGTGCTTTTGAGCCTTGAGGTTGCTTGTTCTCTGGGCCACAAAGTATGCTTGGGTGTGGGCATGGGCAGTTGATACGGTCTATAGTCTTAACTAGGCTTTGCTTTTCATTCGGGATGACGGCGAAGGTCTATGAAGTTCAGCAAGGCCCATATACAAGTGGAATATCTCCTTCATTCGGACCGTCATTACTTGTTCCTTGTGCTTTGTTATACGTAAGCTCCGAATTCGTTGATGAATACACTCACAGGGTGGACACATGCAAGGATCAGACTTGAACTTCTCGTAGCAAGCCTATCCACGGATGAAATAAAAGACTGCAGTCTACGTAATTCCTGAGTCAATTTCTTCGATTTTGAGTCTTTATTTTGTGGCACTTCCATCGTGACCGGTTTGATGCCCCGTTTCCACCTTTCAATGAAGCGAAGTAGTGTCCGGAGGTATTCAAATCAACGTCGCCAAGGCCATTCAAAGACTTTCTCTCAACAAGTGTCGTTCTCGCCCTTTCTCGTCCGGTTTTTACTTTCCCTGACAGATCTGTTCACAAGTTGAGGCATGAAGGAACTTCTTTCCTCTCCATCACTGCCTGTTGGACAACAGCCTTCTGGGTTTCCGCCCTTTCTTCACCACCACCACGTTACTGACCAGGCTGAAAGGCACCTCTCTCTCAACCCATTCGACGCTACAACAATCGAAAAAGAAGATTATTTGATCCTCAAAAACAAAGTGCATCTGACCGAAGACTACGATCATGCCTCCAAAGACTGCTCCTCTCGCCGCCTTCTCCAGTTCGTCCGATGACTCATGCGAGGCTTCTCTACCCGCATTTGACGATCTGGAGAAGAACCTTTTCTTGGCCATGTTTCTGAGCCTCAATAGCAAGCCCGATATCAACTGGGAGACAACAGCGTCCAAGGTCTCCCTCAAGAACGCGGACACATGCAAGGTACTGCCGCTCCCAAGCTCCCTGAAGGGGCTCCATATGTTTTCTGACCATCAATCAGACTCGCTACGGCCAGATTTGCCGCAAGCATGGCATTCGGACCTACAATCAGATTTTCGCCAAGCACCGCGCTGCCGCTACTTCCTCCAAGGGCAAGACCACGGGCAAGGCATCGGTCACGCTTGACAGTGCTGGAGTTCGAAAGGCCACCGGACGGGTTGGTTCAAAGGGACAATACGCTGTTCCCAAACTCGAGATCGAGGTTGAAGACGATCTCAAGAAGGGTGTCATCAAGGACGAAGGGGTCAAGGCTGAGAAGTGAATGAGCTTTGACGATATGATGGCTGATAGATGGAAGTACTTGCTGAGGGGCCTTTACCCATCTCGAATGAACGTTCACTAGCTCAGCGGTGTCTAGCTAGTGAGCTTATGAGACTTTACTCGTAGTAGCACCAGAGGTTGAACACGCCTGATCAGGGACCATCTTCATACATTTAGCTTTCTATCAGACATTTGAATCTCGTCTTTCCCCATCACGGTGCCTAGATTCCAACGTGGACAATCGATGCTTCGCTTTGGGCCGTTGTAGCGACCTTGTGGCCTGCCAAAGCTGGGCATGAATCATGGCGGTCGTGCCGGGTCGGAGGTACATGCACAAATTATCGCCCGAGACGCCCATGTTCCGATCCCAATATCTCTAGAAACACGCTCCCAAAAGACAAACGACAATCGAGCCCCATGGCTCGAACCATGGCAAGTCTATACAACCCAAGTTTATACACCCAAGCTCCGAAACGCCATGTCTAAAACTCCGACGATCCCAAAATCTGGCCTCGAGGCCATTCCATCAGTGCCTCGAAGTCAGGCTCTCCAGCGACCAACCCGTCTATCTCTGCAGCACCGGCTTGGCCCAGCCTCGAAAATACCAGATGCGACTCTCCAAGATGCGCAGAAACACGCAGTAGTGCGCCAGCAGGAGCAGCGCCGCCGGCGCGTGTCCTCGCACGTCGGTCAGCACGCGGCCGCTGACCTCGTAGGCCCAGATGAAGACCATGCCGGGATCGACGTCCATGCCGGCGTCGGCGATGAGCCTGGCCGTTCGCTCGAGGGCGGCGACGGCTTTGAGGTAGTCCTCGCGCGCGTCGGCGGGGACGTGCTCGGCCAGTACGGCGCGGAGCCGTGACAGGGCTGCGAACGTGTCTCCGGGGATGCAGGCCTGGTCGAGGGCGGTATAGGAGCTGGCCGGTCGGTTGATTAGCGTGTATTCTAGAAACATGGAAAGGCCGGGATGTGGAGGCTGTGTGCGTGTGTGTGGTGCGCGTAGACTTGCCTTCTGCTGCCGGCCATCTCGTTGCTGAAGTTGGCCTGCGTGCCGTGGAAGAGAGGGGCGAACCGCGTCGTCACGAGGTTGTCGAGGTATGGCTCGAGGAAAGATTGCATGCCGCGAGTGACGGCAAATAACTCGAGCATCGAGAGCAGAGGCTCCGGCAGGACATGGTTCTCGCACCTGACTGGCAGCAGCGAGACGTAGATGACGGTGAGACCGGCAAAGCAAAAGACGGGTATCCAGTTTTTGATCGTGACGTTGGGCAGCTGCAACGTGTACCCCTTTAATCCCGACGACTGATAGTGAGCGGCCAGGGTGAGGTAGTCTTGCCGCATGCTGGGGACGAGAAGAGACTTGTGGAGAGCGCTGATGGCGAGCATGCCGTCCATGATGAAGGGATGGCGGTAGCCCTCTTCGGGGATGACGTGTCGCCAGATGTGGCGGACGTCGTCACGGATGGCCAAGGTGTTGGCCGTGTTCACAGAGTAGTGGTGCATGAGCTCGAGCTCGCGGCCGCCGAGGTTCATGTCATTCAAGGGCGGGACGATGCCGCCTCGCTGGCGGAAGTCGAGCTGAAGAAAATCCGTCCCGCCGCCCAGGGCGAGATGCAAGTCACCGCTGCTGCCGCTGCTGGCGATGGATGCGGGCGTCGTGGCTGGCTGCTCTGTTCTGCCGGGATCGCCGGGATCGCCGCTTCCGTGTTTTTGAGCCTCAGAGGTCGACGGACGACGCTCCCTCCGGCTCCGGCGACTGGGTGCCGGAGGGGCAACCCGGGTGTCTTGTTTCGTCGCTGCGTAGGCACATGGTATGCCGTGACGGGCGCAATTGAAACATGTTGGGTGTTTCTCGTCACACTTGGGAGAGGCATGACGTGTAAGCTTGGTGCAGGTCGAGGCTCGATCATTCAATTGAGAACTTTTGACTTATCGGGTACGACTCACCTTGACTTTCCTCCGTTTACAGTCCTCGCATCCCTTGCGGGACTTTGTATGGCTTCTGCGCGGTGCCATGTGAAGGTGGGAGGAACCAAGATGTCGGGCAACCCAGAATGGTAGACTGGCCAACGGTCATTCGCATGTTGTGGTTGTGACAAGCAAGGTAGGACATGAGAAGCCGAACACGCGCGTCATGGAAACGCCCTCAAAGATGAGACAGGCGGCCGGCATTTATTGCTCAGCATTTGACGCCTGGGCTTCCTGGGGGGGCGGGGCAGTGCTGTGCGCTAGAACGACGGTGACGGGCTCGGGCGCCATTGTGTGCCGTGACGGGGACCGAGATCTGATCCATGTTTGGCCCCTGAGCCGCCCGGAACTCCCGGTGGGACATCAGATCTGTTCGGCTGAATCCGAATCCGAATACGCGGTTACGGCGGCATCGGCAGGCCTCACGACGACTTTGGTGTTCGCGCTCACCACGAATAGATATGATCATTTCGATCTCCAGGAATGTTCAGCATACCGTGAAGAAGATTAAGCATAAAAATGTGACAACGAGAAACATGGCGCACGATTGGAGGGCCCGGGCCTAGAGGCACGAGCCGGCCCAGGGACGAACGTCTGCGCAGATACTACATGCTGCCATCTCTCAAATACGCCTCCCTTCAGCCTTGTGTTGTTCTTCGTCACCTTCGCAGCAGAACTTGAGACAAAATTCCCTTGACATTTTCCCTTCATGGTTACTATCATGGTACAATTCGGAACTGTCTTTTCTAGTAGTGCCCCGCCAAAGCAGCACAGAGTCAAAATGAGCGATGGCGACCCCAATCGCAAGAACGCAACAGTCCGCCCACTATCGATATGATCTAAATGCTGGTGCCGTCGTCTTTTTCGGCATGCTCCTCAGCGTATCGACTGTCCTTTACATGTGGCAGACGATGCAACCCAAGACTTAGCACAGGGCTTCGTTCGTCGCTGGCGGCTTGTGTTAGTCTTCTCCCGACCTCTCCATGCTGTTTTTCTTTCGCGCTTCTTTTGGAGGCCATGCAGTCCCACTGGTTAAAGTTGGATACGCAATCGAATGGTCAGGCGCTCCGCACAGTCGGACAAGTCGAATGAACCTCAGCAATGAACAGGAACTGTCAGCAGCCTGGTCTTTGCACGGGTAAGCTAGAACGATGGCGCTCGTGTGCAGAGAGCTGTCTCTGCCAAAACTTCTCGACGCGAATGCAGCATGCTCCGTTAAAGGTCAAATAGTCATCAATTATAATAAGGCATGTATCCGACTAGCCGCAAATAGAGTCAGAGAGAGGGAATAAACCATCAACAGGGAAGAGCTCCTTCTATCGCATAGAGCTGGGAAAGCCGCCCTACAGCCGTCCAAACTCCGTCATCCAATTTATCATCATGAACCCCGTCGCATATTACTCGTGACAAGAGGGGGGAGACTGGTATCAGAGAGGGAGAAAAAAAAAAGTAGAAAGTGAAAAAGAAGAAAACCATGGCGAAAGGTGAAATATCAGCCCCAACTCCTGTGATGCACCCTCTGCACCAACATATTTTTTGTTTCCAATTCACCGCCGGTACGCCGTATCCCAATGCTCCGACTTGATACCCACATGCCCGGAAAGGCCGAGTCCGAGTCCCGACGTGGCGTGCTGCGCGTCTTGTTGGGCGGCAGCCATGTGGTGATCGCACGTTGTGCCGATCGAATATTCATCAAGGTTGTAAGCGGCATCGAAAGTCGAGAAGGCCGGGCTTCCCGGCCACAGAGCGTGGTCCTGACCCGACTCGAGCGAATGCTCGTGCTCATGTCCACAGTGCCGTGACGCCGGCATGTCGAAGGCGCCGAGGACACTGGCTGGTGGACTGAAATGCAAAGGATGCGCCGCCGACAGCATGTCATCGCTGCACGGCGTGAGCAGTCGCATTTGTGGGGCCGAGTGGCTCTCCGGGCCGGCCGGCGAAGCCATGGATGTGGGGGTAAAGTGGTTCTGATGATACATGGGTTGGCTTGTGTGAGCCTTGATCTCTAGTGGCGAGCCCGACCGAGCATCATGGTAGGCCGTATGGTTTTGCAAGCCTGGCTCGGCCTTGACGAGGTCTTCTGGCTTGATCGTTTTCTGGTCCTTCTTCGACTTGGTCACCTTGTTCTTCTGGTTCGCCCGGTTCCTCTTTTGCGGCTCGAGACCCAACATGGATGACTTGAAGCGAGAATATCGCATGCGAGCAGCATGCCCATTGGTAGTGGG